GGCCGGCCGGCGCTCACCCGTGTCCTGGCTGCGGGGTCCGTGCCTTGGCTGCCCTCTTCCTTGGTCAGGCTGCCCTTTCTTTTTGATTTTACTTGTTCTGTGGTTCTCGCGCTACTGGTATCTGTTCCGTGCCTAGATTCCCGGGGTTTGTTTTGCCGTGCCTGGGAGTTCACCCGGTTCAAGAGGTTTCGCCAGAGGAGCAGCGCAGTGTTACTTTGAAGGTAAAACACGTCCCGGTTAGATTAGCACAGCTACAAAATGCTGCTGGGACTGCTCAGGGCGGATGACGGGATGCTCTGGTCTGCCTGATTTAACTTCGGATCTGCCCAGTGATTTGTACCCACTTCTGTAATGCCAAAGACACAGCGGACCAAATCCCAGAGTCTCTTAGCGCAACCGTTTGTCCGTGTTAGTCCTAAAGCAGAATTGTTCACTGGAGTCATCTGGCCGTATTGCCGAGGTGAAACAGTTTTAAAAATCCCATGTGAGTGCTTTGCTTACAGCGAACAGCACACGTGTGTGTTTGCAGATGTCCCTCTGTTAGCATGGGATCTGGAGGGTGACCCTTTGTGCCCTTAGCCTGAAAAACTTGGAGAGGTGCCTGCAGCCGTTTAATATTACTAGGCTTTTTATGGGCCTTGTTTTAATTACCTCTTATGCTCCTGTGGAAATACCACCTTGAGATGAAGGGTCATTAACAAAGAAGGGAAATCCTGCAGGTTTCTAAAATCTGTCTGACCACACAGCTCACCGTAAAGGCAAGTTTTTAAGGTACAGAATTTAAGAACAATGAAGGATACTCCAGTTTAATCATAATACTGAGTTCATACCCCTTCCATCTTGTGAAGGCAGCAAGGGTTGCATCTTTAATTTGTTCTTGCAGGATCTGGATGCTGCATTGCCGCTTATAGAACTCTACAAAGATAAATTGGTGGGGATCGGAGAAGTAAGTATAATTCTGTAACTTGTTTAATTGTCTATGGCTGCGGCAGCATCTGTCACCAGAATTACAGAAACGTAGTGAATGCTTGGTTTTGTGCGTACAATAAGTATGGCTGTCAGTCTGAACAAGCACTAAGTCTGATTTGTAGTTCTCTTAATGTGCTTTCCTTCATAGATTTGCCTGATTCCCTCTTTTCGTTCATTATCATTGTTAGGAAATAGATGGCATTTATGCTGGTGGATTTAGTAGGAAGAATTGCATAGTTATGCTATATTGTCTTATAGCCAAATGTCTTTTGACCTATTCTCTGGCACGGCGACATGTCAAGCCACATTGTAATCCTCATTCAGATCCTTCTTGCCTTCTTCCCTGACAAAGTTAGCCTAAACTATGATTTCAGCACACCTCACTGACTTGTACAGTCCTTTTTCCTTGTGATCCCTCATCTGTCTGTATCTGTGTGTTGTCTCCTGTCTTACATTTGTTTATAAACTAATTGGGGCTTAACAGCTTTAGGGTAAAGTCTGCCTCTTGTGTTTGTTGGTACCGGAGGGACTTATGGCTGGTTCTGCACTGGCTGCAGTTATTGGCAGAGCTTTGTAGCTAAACTTGCCGTGTTGTGCTTGTACTGTATATCAAGGACTTTGGTTGATGTAACTGTGAATGGGGCTGCTATGACAAACTTGAAATTTTGCCTGAACATGTTTAAATAAAAAAAAAAGTAGAATTAATGGGTAATTTTTGCTAGAGATAGGACTAAAACTACAGGTTCGGGTCAGAAATTTGGCTCGTATTGGAGATCCAGATTTGAGATTTAATGTGAAATAATATTCAGTAGAATATAAACCCCCAGAAAACTAGTTATAGATTAAAATGTGAAATACACTTGTTGGTAACTGTGTGCCCACAAATGCTTTCATAGTTGAAAAGCTCATGGTTGAGAATGGATTCCTTTCTGAGTTAAGTTACAGTTGATCTCATTTTAATTGAAGTGTCTAGTATATATATTTTGAAATGCCTTGCAGGTTTGAAGAATTTTTTTCCTTTATATATGGCATCATGGTTTAGTCAAGCGTTAGGTCTGTAAAATTTTTTCACTTCTCTTCTTGTACTGTAGGTTGGACTAGATTTCACTCCCAGATTTGCCAGCACGGATGAACAGAAGGAAGGACAAAGACAGGTTTTGATCAAGCAGATTGAGTTAGCAAGAAGACTGGATTTGCCTTTGTACGTTTTGTTTATACTAGTAGGAGAATTTGCCAGATCTCAGTAATGTGGAAATATTTTCCAGGATTTGTAGTTACTAAGAGCCCACAGAACTTTTCTTACATGGATTGAACTGGCATTAGTGTCCTGTCAGTCTCCAGATTGAGCTTTAATTATAGAATTTTCCTTGTGTTTGCACTTGAATACAGTGGTCTTCTGTGTCATGTTCTTGCTGTGTCGTTGCTATATCTTCACTGTAGCTAGAATGATTCACATATACGTCTCTAGAATTTTTCCCTGATAAAAGGTGTAATACAGATGAATTATTTTCTTCCCAAGCTTCTGTTAATTCATTTGTGTTTACAAAAAAAAGTATTTTTCTGAATTTCCTAATGCTGGGCCTCTCCTTGCTATGCAGAAATGTTCATTCCCGCTCAGCTGGAAGACCAACAATTAATCTCTTAAAGGAACAAGGTATGTGTTTAGTGCCTTTTCTCTGCCATGGTTTTTGTCAACAGAATTTCTTCAGTTGTGCCATGTCCTCACATCAGTTTGTGTACGTGAAACTTGGTAGGAATAGTGCAGAGAGTCTGTATTCATTTTTTTGTGGGGCCAGGGTCCCATTGGAAGCTTACATGGCAGATCTGCTGTAAATGCTGTTAATGGTTTGGTTTGCTTCTTTTCTCTGAGGTGCTACAAAGGTGTTGCTCCATGCATTTGATGGGAAGCCATCCGTAGCGATGGAAGGGGTGAAAGCTGGATACTACTTCTCCATTCCTCCTTCCATTATAAGGAGTGACCAGGTAAGATTTAAAGGGGTTTGCTCCTTCTTGGTGCTTGGGGATTGCAGGTAATAGCTGACAGCTTCTCATGATGGCAAACATGACTGGTTTCACTGTGCAGCTCAAGAATATGCTTGGGTTTTAAGTCTGCACAGTTTGAAGTGGGACTAGCAGTACTCACATAGGGTTGCTGTCACCTGACACTTCTCAGTAGAAGTTTCAGTTGCTTATAATGTTGCATGTTTTTACTTCGGCTAAATTTCTTCCTGGGGCTTTTGCCTTAGCTAGAATTTTTGGGGGAAATTTTGGCTAAAACAGCTCAACTATTCCTGAGAAATGAGGGTATAAGAAAATAGGTATTTTTTTCTCATTTTAATGTGGTTTCTGCTGAACTCTTCTTTGGAAGCTTCTGTCACTGTACTGTTTTAGAGTAGGGACACGACACATGGAAAAGGACTAGTTTCTGTCTCGGTGCTACGGCACTTTTGGTTCAAAAGGAAATCTGCTCGCAATTGTCTAAGTTACAGACATTTGAAAAATTGTGATTATCACAAGGTGCACCCAGCAAAGCAGCAGCTAAATTGCTTAAAGACGGAATTGGTCAGCTTCAGCCCTTGATTTGGTGTATCTATCCTGCACCATCTCATCACTTTCTGTGATAAGCTCAGGACATGTAAGAAAGGAAGAGGCAGGATTCAAGTGGAGGGGCTGTGAGGGATGGATATAGATGGGGATGAGGCTAGGAGCTTGGAGAAGGGAAAGCAAACTGGAGACATAAAAGCAGAGATGGGAAAAAGGTACACAAATATTATATATACAGAAAAATAGCAAATTAAAATTGCATTGGCAGCTCTAAATATACAGTATTTTGTGCAATATAAATAACAATGGATTCAGTGCTTAGATAATAGTACTTCAGATATTTAGAAAACAAGATAATCCTAATTTGAAGGGACTTCTTGAGCAGCTGCTGGTATCCTTGCTTTCATTCTGAAATTGTTGATAAAATGCAGTGACACCAAAGTCTTCTGACATTGATTTTAAACACAGAAGGTATCCTCCCTTTGTACATTTTTTTTTCCTACAGGTCTAAGCGCATAAAGTGTTTAATAGCTGTCTTATTTTCTTCAAGAAGCAGAAACTTGTGAAACTGTTACCTCTGGAAAGTATGTGCTTAGAAACTGACTCTCCTGCTCTGGGGCCTGAAAAACAGGTAAATGGTTGGGGGAGGGACTTCTATGTATGTATATCTAAACCCACACCTTATGGAGGTGAGTTACTGGCATGGGAGAGTGAAGTCATGTAAGCATGGACAAGGGATGAAAGAGGTTGCCAAGTGAAGGGTTTGAGGTGAACAACTCCCTGTTTCTGAGACTGGGAGAGGAGAAGAAATTCCAGGAATAGGCAAAGGGGAAAATAATCCAAGAATCATAGAATAATTTAGGTTGGAAAACACCCTTAAGATCGAGTTCAGCTGTAAACCAAGAAGAATAGATAGATATATATGTAATTTCTCTGTCACAGATGCCACAATCTGCCTGAAGTTGCGTCAGGAGGTACTGAATCTCAAACACCTGTCATCTGTAGGGATCTGTAATTTGGTCTGTTGTGGTCTTTTTTTTCAGGTGAGAAATGAACCAAAAAATATTTACATTGCTGCAGAATACATTGCCAAAATTAAAGGAATTCCAGTTGAAGAAGTTGTAGAAGTGACTACACAGAATGCACTGAAAGTGTTCCCCAAACTTCGTAACTTTCTTCGGTTATAGACGTAGAAACTGAAATATATGATATTGCAGAAACTATTATTTATGGTATAATAAATAAAACCAACAAACACCTTGTCTTAAAGTGGAGTTTTGCTGTTCGGATGTTCACGAACTGAGCAGTGTGTTACATAGATGCATAGGATGGATAGAATGAATTTCTCAAATACCTTCTTCAGTACACACCATTATCATCTTTTAGATGTGATAAAGACAGGTTGCTCATTTGCATCCCTCTTACTTCTCTGACTAGGTAAAGAAGAGCACCATAAAAGTGTCAGTTTAGTTTCTTGGACTCCTTGCTCAGCTGCTCCTAGCCTGGGAGATGGCTAATGTGCAATCCTTTATGTCCCTTTCATTCCTTAATTTCTGCGGACTGGAAGTCACTCAGTCGTGGGCCCACTCATGCAAACTGCACATCTCTTTTTTTTGAAAAAAAAAACCCCAGCTGGACAGACATTGTCTGTATGTCACGTTGACTGAGCTCTGTGAGTAGTGCAGAAGCAACACCTCTGATTTCTTTCAAAATACAGTTGGAAGGAAAGAGTTACAGTCCTTCTACCCTTTCTTTTCCCTTGTATACAGTAATTTAGTTGCTCACATCTTCGCTATTTCGAGGAGAGTTTGCTTTGATGGTTTAATTTTCTTTTTTTGAATCATATACAAAGGAAGAACCCTTGTGGTGG